TCTTTTTTTATGTAAATTTTTAAAATTTATATATGACAGCAGAGTGCATTACAATTCTTATTACATATACAGAGCACATTTTTTCGTATCTCTGATTGTATACGTAGTATATTCACACCAGTTCGTGTCTTCATACATGTACTTTGGATAGTAATGATCATCACATTCCACCATCATTAATTACCCCATGCCCACTCCTTTCCCCTCCAACCCCTCTGTCCTACCTAGAGTTCGTCTATTCCTTCCATACTCCTGCTCCCTATCCCACTATGAATCAGCCTCCTTATATCAAAGAAAACATTCGGCATTTGGTTTTTTGGGATTGGCTAACTTCACTTAGCATTATCTTCTCTAACTCCATCCATTTACCTGCAAATGCCATGATTTTATTCTCTTTTATTGCTGAGTAATATTCCATTGTGTATATATGCCACATTTTTTTTTTTATCCACTCAACTATTGAAGGACATCTAGGTTGGTTCCACAGTTTAGCTATTGTGAATTGTGCTGCTATAAACATTGATGTGGGTGTGTCCCTGTAGTATGCTGTTTTTAAGTCTTTGGGTATAGATCGACAATGCAGGATTTTAGCAGAACAGTGACAAGTGTGATTTACATTTTCTCTATAGGTTGCTGCATGACAACAGACTGTAGGGAACTAAGAATGAAGGCAGGGTGATCTGTTAGGAGTATATTGCTGTAGTTTAGGAGAGAGAAAGGTGGCCTGATCTATATTGATGACAGTGGAGGTAGTAAGAAATGACAAATCTGATTTGTATTTTGGTGGTGTATCATGGTCTTGTGGCCAGAAATGAGGTGGAACTGACAGGATTGCAAGGAGTCCACAGCACAGTGAGTTGGCAGAACCAGGATTCAGATTGTTTGATTCTAAAGCCCTACTTACAAAAAGTCCCCTAGGCTGATGCAATGCTAAGCAAACACTAAGCATCAAAGCAGAATGGGAAGGACCATATGCAGCACCACAAGTATTTCTTGAGCACCAACACACTTGTTCTAAGGTCTTGTGGCATATGGCCCAAAACTCTGGACTGGATGGATAGAAGGTGCAAATTCAAATTCTGCATGTGCTACGGATTGTTCCTCCATGTGGATTCCATGACTTCTAAAGGCCCTTTCAGCTTTAGTGCTCTCTATTGCACCATTCAGCACCTGGAGGGATAGCCACTGTGTACAGTGCCACTCATTGATACAGAGAGATAAGAATGATAAGCATAGAATTGTTACAAGAGTAGGTAAGAGGTGGCAGCACTACAGGTTATGTTTTTGGTTTTCAATACTATGCAATTAAGTTTGATTTTATCATATTACTTTTTCAATTTAGCGAAAGCATTTGGTTTTAGCATTTTACTTTAAAGAAAAAGAGAAAGCAATTCTATGTATTGTGCCACTCCAACTTACAGGATATAATAAAATTTTATGCCTCATTCATCCAAATATCCAAGTGTTAATCATCTCAAAAAAGTAGTTTGTGTACATTTAATGACGTTTATTGAGCAAATCTGGATGGAGGAAGACCCTGGTGAAAAGTTTAAAAAAAAAAAAGAACTTTTTTTTAGAGTTTACAATTTAGCCTTTTTAGATTTTATAACAATCTTGCAAGGTATTATTGTCCTCCCTTTTGTTCACATTATAAAATAAAAATTGGTGCAGTTAAATCAATTGCACAAGGTGGCTCATTTGGTAAAATAGAAAGCTCAGTATTCAAATCTGGGTCCGCTGGACTTTCTTTCTCACTACCTGGGATTCTGTGACAGCAATCATGGTCTAGGTGGGGCCCAGGACAGGGCACGTCCTATATTAACTACTCTGAAAGGGTGAACAGTGATCTAGAATAGGGGTCAGGAAATTTTCCATAAAGGACCGGATAGTACAGTATGTTTATTGGCTCTGTGGGTTGTTAGTGTCTGTCACAGTGAGACTCAACTCTGCCTTTGCAGCCCATCAGTCATAGATAATACATAAAGGAACAAGCAGGGCTGTATTCCAAAAGGATTTTACTTATGGATAGCGGAATTTGAATTTCATGTAATTTTCACAGTTTTATCACACAATATTATTCTTCTTTTGATTTTTCCCTCAATTACCAGAAAATATAAAAGGCATTTTTACCTTGATGGCTGTTCAAAAACAGGTTGCAGGCTGGATTTAGCCTTTGGGCTGTAGTATGCCAACCTCTGATCTAATGTCAAGACTAGTGCTGTTCAATAACACTTTCTGGGATGATGGAAATGTTTTAATCTGCATTGTCCTATACAGTAGCGGCTAACTACATGCAGATATTGAGCATCAAAATATGACCAGTGTGACCAAGGAACTAAAATTTTGTTATAATTTTTTTTTAAGACAGGGTCTAACTATGTTACCCAAGCTGTTCTTGAACTTCTTTTTTTAAAAATATTTTTTAGTTATTGATAGACCTTTATTTTATTCATTTACTTATACATAGTACTGAGAATCGAACCCAGTACCTCATACATATCAGGCAAGCACTCTACCACTGAGCCATAATCCCAGCCCTGTTCTTGAACTTCTGGGCTTAATTTATCTTCCTCCTTCAGCCTTCCTAGTAGCTGGGACTACAGGGGCATACCACTGTGTCTGATTTGGGACTAAATTTTAACTCAGCCCTCCTTTCCATTCCTGTTGCCCTTATCATTTCTTTAAGAGTTAATGCAGTTTCTCAACTAGTCTCCCTGTCTCCTATTTTACTTTCTTTCCAATCCATCCTGCACAAAGCTAAAGAGATTTTCCTAAAATCAATTAGGATCCTAGCTCTTCTCCAAGATACTATTACTCCAAAGTAAGAATTCATATGAACTTTTGGAAGTTCAACCTGTCATCATGCCACATTCACATTTTCCTTAAGAAAGGAAACAAAGAGGTTGAATACTTTCCTCTTGTTTGATCAGATAAGTCATAGTTAAGTTTCTTGAAAGTTGTCCATCACACTTGTTCTCCTCTGTTTCATAGTGGCTTGCTGAATAATGTAGTGAAGGAAATTTGGCTTTGTAGATGGAGAGCTATTTAAGCTTAGGACACCATTTCTGGTATATGTAGCAGTCAGGAAAGGTACCTAATTACCTTGAGCCTCACTTAAAATTAATGTGACTTCAGTGCTAAATGAGAATGATGATAATTATATTACAGAATTGTTGGGAAGATCAACAAATGAGTTAGGTGGAAATCTTTTGCAGTGAGTAAGAAGCTATACAAATGTTAGTTGTTGAAATAAACAGTCTTTAAATGGTTCTAAAAATCAATAATGATCTAATTTTACCTAATGTATTTTCTCATTTTGAAAGCCAATCTGCATGAGGCCACAAAAGTATATAGGCTTTCAGTATCCAAAGGAAAGGGGGATGAAAAAGAATTCTGGCCTATTCAAATACCCTTGGGTTGTGTATTAGTCTTAGGTCTAAGATGGTGCTTTCTTGCACTTCTGTTTTTCTAAACAATAATTTCAGCAATAAATATTAATAGACAGTTGATTCTAGAGAGATGAATGACAATGACATCATATCAAATCAGAAAGAAAAAGTATTAATAGTTTTAAGCATCTAAGGGGCTTTTCAAAGTATCTTTCTCAGTGAGTTCTAGTAGGAAGTGAACTGCTATCAGTCAGGAAGAAGATAAAAAAACAAAACAAAACAAATGATGTTATCAAATAAGAAAAGGGACAGCTTAAGTTCACATAAGTATTTTTTTCTCTTCCTTAAGCACATCCCAGAACACAGGATTTCTAAGGATAAGTATACTTTTCATTGGAGCACATTACACTTTTAAGATGAATTTACACCAATACCTCATTCTTAGTTCTTGAAATGAGCATGACTCCGCTGTCTTACCAATACAAGAGACATCCTTGCCAGGCACAGTTGCATAGACCTATATTTTGTAGCTACTCTAGAGGCTGACTCAGGAGGATGCAAGTTCCAGGCCAGCCTGGGCAACTTTGGGAGGTGGGTCTCAAAAACAGCAACAACAAAAAAGGCCTGGGGATGCGGCTCAAGCGGTAGTGTGCTCACCTGGCATGCCTGCGCCAGGGTTCCATCCTCAGCACCACATACAAACAAAGATGTTGTGTCCACCGAAAACTTAATAATAATAATAGTAAATATTAAAATTCTCTTAAAAAAAGGACTGGGGATTTAGCATAGTGATGGCGAGTCTCTGGGTTCAACACAGCAAAACAAACAAAAACAAAAAATCTATTGTTTATGATCGATATTTTTTCTACAAAGAGTAGTAAAGATTTTTTTTTTTTGTTCTTTGAATTTAAGGTTTCCAAAGAGATTGATGGGTCTGTTTCAAAGCACTAATGTCTATAAAAACCACTCACTCTCCAGATTGACTTATTTCCGCGAACACGTCTTTACTATTTTATAGTTATAGTTAATATTTTACTCATCTTTATATGTTTGTCTCACCTCGCCTCAGAGGAGTTGGCATATAGTAAAATGTACTAGCAAACTAGGGGCCTTTCTTGTTTGTGTCCCATGCTATTCAAGTCTGCACTCAAGCGCTCACTAAGCCCACTAAGCGCTCACTTAAACTCTCGTGGAAGAATTTATTTCTTAACCACCCACTCACCAGCATCTAAACATCACCTTTGAACCCGGTAGAGTGACCGCTGGGTAGGACCACCAAACTCAAGCGCGTCCCAGGCCAACAAGCCCCATGGTAGCAGCACCGAATTTCCTTTCTCTCTGAGACCTCAGCATCTTCGTGGGTATTTTCTTTCGAGACCCTCTTTGCGTATTTGTGTAGATATTCTTCAAATATTTAACTTAACAGTCTACGCAGAACTTATACCTTTCTAAGAGGAAGATCCCGGGCAAGAGAAAGTAAAAGCTTGCAAATGAGATAGTGGAAAATGAGAAACCTGGTCACTTCAGAGACAGCAGGAGCTGACGTGGGCGGGGTATTGGCAGCTGAGGACCCCACGTGACCCTAGGGGCCGACCCCGCCTCTCTGTCCGCCGCTGGGGGGCGCATGCGCAGCCCGTGCTAGTGATGGAGGAGAGAAGATGGCGGAAGCGGAGTGAGTGACTTGCTAGTGACTGATGTCGTAACCCGGGGCGAGTGGGGGCAGCGACACGTTCCTCAGTAGAAGATCTCAGGGCTCTTTCGCTAGCAGTGCATGGAAGGGAAACCTGAGAACTACTTTATTCTGTTGGTGCCTGCTTGGCCCTAGTCGGGGGGCGGAGGTGAACTGAAGGGTCCAGTTGCCCTGCAGGCGGGAGCGCCCCTTCTGCCGTCTGGACCGGGTCGGCCGAGCCCTGAGCGCACGGTCACCCCTGAGGCCCTGTCCTCTAGGGTTCTCCAGGAAACAGATTCCTGTGGGCCCCTCAGGTGCTGTCATCCCTTCAAGTGGGCCCTGCGGGCCTCGTACGCCAGGGGCCCGCGCGGAGGCTGGGTAGGGCAGGGCGGGCACTGCCAGGCCTCCTTCGTGCTACCATCCTTCGGCTCCGGCGCCTCCCCGCTCTCAGCCGGAGAACGAGAGACCCAGCTGCCCACTGCCCTCCCGCGGTGGGGTAGGGCGAGGGCTAAGTGTCTTGGCGCGGGCCTGAGGGCGGCGGAGGTTGCTGCGCTCTGTTGAGGCTGAAAACACCCCGGAAGGAAAGACCTTTCCCTCGGGTCTCTGGCTGCAGGGTTGCTGTCTCCCTAGAGGGCCACATTCTTGTGTGGCAGTGTGATGGTATGCTTAGTTAGCGACTCTAAAACTTAAATATTTCTCGGGTAGGCCTCTTGTATACCAGAACTGCAGTGTATTTTGCAGGTATTTATATGCACAGACGGTGGAGTTACCAAAACTGGTCTTTTGTGCCAGGCCTCGAAATGCAATACCATGGTTTGGCCTGTTGCCCTCACCGATGCCTAGAATTTGTATTAGACTTGATGCCTAGAATTTGTATTCTCTGTGACCATTTTCGGTTAGTAGTTAGAACTGTGCCTGGGTTTGAGGATATAGTTGAGCAGAACAACTTTAAAAGTACCAGACATTGCTGGCATTTTGCATATCACTTGGTGCATGGCACACACGTGTTATGATAGGCAGTAATTTGGTAAAAAGTTTTCCTTATCTACTACTGATACTGTATAATATTGAACTATATGATACTGTGATTTGATAATTGGAAGGCAATTTGAAAAATAGCAAAGAAGTGTAAAAACATGATTCACTTCCTTTTTTTCTTGTTGGTACTGCGGATTGAACCCAGAGGTGCTTTACATTGAGGTACATACCTATCCCTTTTCATTTTTAAAATTAAAAAAAATTTTTTTAGTTGTAGTTGGACATAATACCTTTATTTTATTTATTTATTTTTATGTGGCACTGAGGATCGAACCCAGGGCCTCGCACATGCTAGGCAGAGTACTAGGCGAGTCCTCTACCGCTGAGCCACAATCCTGTCCTCCCCTTTTCATTTTTTGTTTTGAGACAGGATCTGGCTGAGTTGCTGAGGCTGGCCTTGAACTTATTATCCTCCTGCCTCAGTGTCTCCAATCATCATTTTCTAATAAAAAAGAGTAACTGAGGAATCAGCTACTTCCTTTATTCTTTCACTTTTTCTCTCTTTTTAAAAAATATTTTAAAAAATATTTATTTTCTAGGTATAGGTGAACACAATGTCTTTATTTTACTTTATGTGGTGCTGAGGATCGAACCCAGTGCCTCATTCATGCTAGGTGACTGCTCCACCTCTGAGCCACAATCCCAGCCCCTCTTTTTCTCTTAAAAGGAGATTGGTTCCTCAGAGCCAAATACTGTTTACATAGTGATATAGAAAAAAAGGAAATTTGTACATAAAGGAAGTCCTATCAGGATAGTATATGAGTACCCAATTAGTGCCAAATTCCTTTTGCTTTTTGTGAAGTAGAAGAGTTTTTGTTACATTCTTGTCACACAGGTTGTGTTTCTCCGGAAGAAATGACTGATAAAAAAAGGCAGATAAAAGAAGGAAGATAAAACCAGTATAATTTCAAGTGTATTTTTCATTATTATGTGCTTTATGACCCTGTAAAAATTACAGTAGTTCTAGCTTCTAACAATATTGAAGCCCTTAGAATTGATTTTTTAGTGTTGAATTTAATCACATATGGATTCTGTGTTGGGAGAAATTTTATATCACAATATAAGTGGAATTTTAATATTGGAAGAAATAGAAAATTTGGTACAAAAATGTACTTTACTGTCTATACACAAGGAAACTGTATTTGAGGAAAATTACATAGTTACGCTGTTTTTAAAATTTAGAGCAATTCATCTTGAAAAAGATTTCTATAAGGATGTGGGAAGTTGCTGTTAACTGCTACCCTTATTTCAGTAGAGTAATCTGTTCTTAAGTCAAACTCGATTATTAGAAATAGTAAGGACAGGGCTGGACTGCAGCTCAGTGGAGGAGCACTTGCCTAGCCATGTGAGGCACTGGGTTGGATTCTCAGCACCACATATAAATAAATAAATTAAGTAAATAAATATATTGTGTCCTACAACTTAAACAAAAATTAAATAAAATAAAAGAAGGACAGTGTTGTAGAGCAATTAGAGAAAACCTGGTATGAATTACACTTTTTTTGTTAACTTTTTAAAGATAACTTGTTTTTTAAGTAAAGTGTATATAAGCAACCAAAACTAAGCTACTCAACAGAAGTCACATTCTTTTAAAATGTATAAATATGAGTGACTGTAATTTGTTGTTATCAAATGAATGCAAAGAATTGTTTTAAAGTACTCCGATACTGCTTAAATTTTAATTTTTCTAGTTAGTGTGGTATTCTCTTACCACCTATTTTGATTTTAAATCCCTCCTTTCAATATTGCAAAGATAAACTTTAGACCAGGTTTTGTCAGTTACATATCTTGGCTCACTTAAATTCCACATAGATAGATATTAACTATTAAATATCCTATGTATATGTAAAGTATTTTTCCCTTCTAAGTGTTTTTTTTGTGCTAGCTGTATTTTGTTTCTTTATAGAGGCTTAGACTCTTGCTGATTATTTTCTTTTTCTTTTTTTTCTCCTGGTACCAGGGATTGAGCCCAGGGGTGCTTAACCACTGAGCCACATCCCCAGTCCTTTTTGTTTTAAAATGTTTTATTGAGAGATGGGTTCTTGCTAAGTTTCTAAGGCTGCCTTTGAACTTACAGTACTCCTGCCTCAGCCTCCTAAGCCCAGCTTGCAGATTATTTATTGAAATGAATTTTTTTTTTTTTTTTTTTTTTTGGTACTAGGGGTGTTTAAGTACTGAGCCATACCCTCAGCTTTTGAAGTTGCTTAGGGCCTTGCTAAGTTGCTGAGACTGGCTTTGAAGTTGTGATCCTCCTGCCTCAGCCTCCCAAACCACTGGCCACTGTGCCCAGCTGGAATGTATATTCTTTAAAGCTCATAAGATTATTCTTTTTGTCAATATAAATCCTTTGTGTTATCTGCCAGATTTAAAGACCACAGTACAACAATGGATAATGAACCAAACCCTGGAGCATCTTCTGTGTCGACAACAACCAGTAGCACAACAACCACCACCATCACCACTTCCTCTTCTCGAATGCAGCAACCACAGATTTCTGTCTACAGCGGTTCAGACCGACATGCTGTACAGGTATTTCAGCTATAATGATGGGTAAAATTAGACTTGGAGTATCATATTGCTTTTTGTTTAAACCAGATCAACGTATTGATTCAGATCCTGAAATGTACAGTTATAATTGTTAAGATCTGGGCTGGGGATGTAACTCAGTGGTAGAGCACTTGCCTAGCAGGTACAGGGCCCTGGGTTTCATCCCTGGCACTGCTTAAAAAAAAAGAAAAATTGTTAATGTTTGAAACAACCAGCAGTTATTTAATAATTATACTGTTAAATAGTTTGTTAACATTTATGTGTCAGGAAAATTATAATTGGAAGTCTCTTGATGTTGCTATAAAGGAAAGGTACTCAACCTAGACCCCTAACATGCAGAATGACTCTAGGTTCAAATTTTGTATTTGAATCCAAAATATAGACTTGGGGAATTCTTTTCAACTCTGTAGTTGCGTTAAGAGGTTTATTTTAAACCCATGTGGCCTAAGAACCCTAGTAGGAAGATGCCTTCTATAGTTCCTGGGGCAAATGGGAAAGGAAATATTTAAGAAGAGTCTTGGGCTAGGTCACTTATTAACTTTTAATAATAATGGAGATAATGTGGTATTGTACACTACATGGGCATTGCATTCTGATATGCTGTTTGAATCCCATTTTTGTTTTCATCAGTATCTATGTGGCTTTGGGTGGGAGGCACAATCTCTTTGAGCCTTAGGAGACTAAAATGAGGACAAGACTACCTTTTTCATTAGTTTCTTTGAGGATTTAAATGAAGCCTCTAGAACTCTGTGGAATATATTATAGGTACCTAATAAATACTAGTACTAGTATCTATTGAACAGTTGCTATGTGCCAAGCATCTGATAAATACTTCATGTGGATTATCATGTTTAATTCTCACCACACCTCTATAAAGTAGACATATGGGAAAACCAGTATTTTAAGTAGGCTAAATAATTTCCCGAAATTCATACAGCTAGTAGGTTCTCTGATTTCAAAGTCTGCACCCTTTATACCCTGTGAGGTCTTGTGTTTTTCTGTTATACCTTCTTGCTTCCTCTACCTCCTAATTGCATTTTTTTTTTCAGTCAAGGAGGGGCCTTGGTAATGCTAGGCAAATACTGTATCACTGAGCTATATCCCCAAACTCTCTAATTGTATTCTTAACTGTTTGTGGTATAGTCTTCTCTCTGTTCCATTTTTCTCTAGTGTAATAACTATTAAACTGTTCTGTGGTTTAGGATTTAGTTTTCTGAAGTCACTGTAGAGTGGAATCAGAACTGTTGGGCACCCAGGCAGCTCAGCAGAATTCAAACTGGAATGGAGAGTATGCATTTAATGTTCTTCACTTTTTTCTGAGGCAAGGGATATGGAGGAGAGTATCTAGATCTTTGAGATAATGGGATATTTTTGTGTGTGTGAGGGTGAACTCAGGGGTACTTGACCCCTGAGCCACATCCCCAGCCCTATTTTGTATTTTATTTAGAGACAGGGTCTCACTGAATTCCTTAGTGCTTCACTTTTTTTGAACTTGTGATCCTCCTGCCTCAGACTCCTGAGCTGCTGGAATTATAGGCATATGCCATCATGTGCAGCTGGTGATAATGGGATATATATATATTTTTAATATTTATTTTTAATTGTAGTTGGACACAATACCTTTATTTTATTTATATAATTTTATGTGGTGCTGAGGATCGAACCCAGGGTCTCACATGTGCAAGGTGAGTGCTCTACCTCTGAGCCACAACTCCAGCCCCATAATGGGATATTTTAATATGACATTTCATTTTCTAGTTTTCCCTTAAGGTGGATGTATTAATAAAAATAAAGTATTATTGGAGATGTGTAGATGTAGATATACCTCACAAATATCTCTAACTCTAGTTGTTACAAAGATTATGGAATTGCTGTCCTAAAGAGCAATCAAATCAATATTTATTGAGCTATCTAAGTAGTTCTTTATTCTACCAGTTTTTTTTTTCTCTTAGTCCTGTGAATTCTCTTTAACATGTTAATTCCTGTAGAGAAATAAAATAAGAACAATGTTCTGTACCTGTAACTTGTATTTATGCAATGCCTGGAGTATAGTGTTGAATGGTAATAAAAGATTACCAACTACAGAAAATTACTGCACTCTGATAAAATTATGTCAAATAGAGTGTTTATTTGTTTTTTCAGTTTGATTTTTAGAATTTTATTACAGAATTAAAAGAAGATGTATAGATTTGTCTGACAAGAAAAGATAAGTTAATGTAATTCTGAATTACTTAATGCTGGTCTGTAGTCCTCTATAACCAGGAATCAAAAGCTTACATTGATTTTTGTGACAGGAGTTTTTAGCACGTATTCAATTTGCCATTGGAGAGATGACATATGCATGCCTGAAGTAAACAATAATTCATGGAAATGTTCTTTCTTGAAATTTGGGTTCAAGGTTTTATGGTTATAGGTGTCCAAAATTTAGATTATGAAGCTATAGGATTATGGCTCTGTTACTTCCTTAGCACTTTGGAAACTCTGGTTTGATACTAAGATTGAGGTTCTGTGCTGTTTTGGTTACTTGGGCATGATATGACCTTGGGATGTGGCTGCAGAGGATTGGACTTATCTTTTGAAGAGATGCAAGATTTTTCTCTGGTCTTAATAGAATACTCGACTTTACCACATTTATCTATTTGTGAAATTTCATGATTAGATTTTATATTTTATTAATATTCACAAACACTTTTTAGGAGTCTTTTTAATACTAATATTTTTAAAAAATATTTATTTTTTAGTTGTAGTTGGATACAATACCATTATTTTATTTATTTATCTTTATGTGATGCTGAGGATTGAAATTGAACCCAGGTCCTCTCATGTGCTAGGTGTATGCTCTACCACTGAGCCAAAACCTCAGCCCCAATACGAATAATTGTATTCTTTGTGGAAAATTAAGAACTCTGACATTTAAAAACATTAAAAATAATTATTGAGTAATTTTCAGAAAAAGAAACAGTTTTGACAATTTTTGTAGGATTTTTAGACACTTCAAGAAAATTTCAAACCAGAAGATAAAAATTACCTCTAATTAGCTATCCATCTACAGTACTCTTTTATGTTTTCCTAGACCCCTAACATGCAGAATAACTTTAGGTTCAAATTTTGTATTTGAAGCCAAAATATAGACTTAGAGAAATCTTTTAGAGTATTCCTACTCATCTACTGAATATTCTACTCATCTACAATCTCCTTGAGCCTCAGGTTAAAAAAAAAATCAAATGCAATTATAAGAAAAATATAATTATGAGATAGAGGAAGTAAGCAGGTATAATAGAAAAACATAAGAACTCACAGGGTATAAAGGTTGTAGACTTTGAAGTCAGAGAAGCTACTAGCTGTATGAATTTTGGGAAATTATTTAGCCTACTTAAAATACTGGTTTTCCCATTTGTAAAATGGAGATAATAATTATGTCTACTTTCTCACTACATCTATAAAGAATTAAGATAATCCACATGAAGCATTTATCAGATGCTTGGCACATAGCAATTGTTAAAGAGATACTAGCTACTAGTGTATATTGAGTACCTATAATATATTCCACAGGGTTCTAGATGCTTCATTTAATCCTCAAAGAATACTCAGATTACTGAGTTATTTTGATATAAAAATGATTACTCAGTTAATTTGGTAAAAAATGACATCTTATTCTAAACTTTCTTCACCTGCTAATATATTTGAGAATGTTCTTATTAATAAATACAAGTCTGTATCTGCACTGTGAAATGTGGTAGCCATTAGCTATCTGTGTACCTATTTACATTAAAATCAAAGTTCAGTTAAAGTTAAAAACCCAATTCCTTAGTTGCATTAGTAATATTTTCATGTTCAGTAAACACAGGTAGCTACTCTACTCTACACACTAGCTACTCTATTAAACAGTTTAGAGCCATACTACTGTTTGTTATTGCTCCATAGCAAAATATTCCTCTTCATACCTAAGCCCTGAATTCTTCCAACTTTTATCCAAAAAAGCTATACCAACTTAAATTCTCACAGTGTGGGAAGATTTATTTTCTCAAGTAAAAGTATTTTAAATCTTTATCCATCTGACAGTTAGAAAATAGTATCATATTTTAATTTGTAAATTTTTGATAACAGTGATATTAAATATTTCTTCAAATACTTATATGGTCCTTTATAAAAAAATATTTTTAAGTTGTTGATGGACCTTTATTTTATTTGTTTACACGTGGTGCTGAGAATTCGAACCCAGTGCCTCACACATGCTAGAGAAACACTCAACCACTGAATTACAACCTCAGTCCTTGTATGGTTCTTTTATGGATTTATCTCTAATGGGTAATTTAATTTGTATAATTAGTGAATCCTAGCAATATGTAACTAGGAGAGAAATATGTTAATAAACTTGAGGACATTGAATCTTAAAGTAGAAAAATTTTAAACTGCCATTTTTATACTTCATTTTATAGTTAAGATAAAGGTTGGGCTGGGGCTGGGGTTCAGTGGCAGAGTGCTTGCCTAGCATACATGGGGCACTGGGTTTGATTCTCGGCACCACATAAGAATAAACAAATAAAATAAAGGTATTCTGTCCATCTATAACTACAAAATAATAATAATAATAATAAAAAGATAAAGGTTGAACTGGAGATATGGGTGAGTGATAGTGTGTGTGCAAGGTCCTGGGTTTGATCCCCAGCACTGAAAAAAAAAAAAAGATAAAGGTTGAGATTATAATTTGACATTGGTTCAATTGACTTATCACAGGTAATTCAACAGGCATTGCATCGCCCCCCCAGCTCAGCTGCTCAGTATCTTCAGCAAATGTATGCAGCTCAACAGCAGCACTTGATGCTGCACACTGCAGCTCTTCAGCAGCAACATTTAAGCAGTTCCCAGCTCCAGAGCCTTGCTGCTGTTCAGGTGAGACTGAAATAAATTAACAATTTTTAAGGCCAAACTTTACATTTTCTTCAGATACTTACTGAAAATAAATACCCTGGGTATTATTTCAGAGTTCTCATATGTCTTGTGATTATTTGTGCTAAAGGAGATGTTAATAGACTACCAAATACTCTGTTTTATAATTGTTGCCAGCTTTTGTCTCTGTTTTTTATCCAAAGTGGATGGTGGTATGGTTTTGTATCCACAAAGTTCTAGGTACAACAGTGGATACTTAGGGCTTCACGAATTATATTTCTGTTTTTTGAAAAAGTAAAGTTTTATTATGTAAATAATTTATATTAAAAATATCAATCAGTATAATATTTTAAGAGGCAAATAAAATAGAAATGTTTCTTTCCATATGTGCCATCGTGTCCCACTTTCAGAGGTGACTGTTGTAACAATTTAATATATATCCAAAAATCTTCTATATAAAATGCATATATACACTTTCCTAAAATCTAATCATATTATTTCAATTAATAACATAATTTTATGATTCAATACCTATGTTTAAATTTTTTTGTTAATATTGTACAACTTAAATAAAACTGTGTGAGATTTAATCTTAAATCTCCTCATCAGAGAAGGATCTCAGTTGAGTGAACTTGAAAAAAGTTTACTTCTGTTATTGACAGATACCAGATGTTACTTCTTTTCAGTAGTGTAATTTTAAGTAACATCATGTTCATAATATGACTTAGGAAACTGAAACCCACTGGCTCTTGATGTAGCTCAAATGTCTTTTTTGTAATGGTAGAGTGGTGATTCAGCTTCAGAAATGTCAAGAAACCTGAAGAGTGAAACTTACAATGAGTACAGCTAATCAGATTAGCTTTTGGGCCTGTTTTCACCATTCATATTTTTCTTTTCTTTAAAAAAAAAAAATCTGTTTGGCCAAAGATTAAATTGACCTTTGGTTCTTATTTTGTTTCTGTGTTATGCTGGTAGCAGAAAGGTTTTAACTTTAGGTTTTTGTAGGCATATTATAATGGTCTTATTATTTTAGGCAAGTTTATCCAGTGGAAGACCATCTACATCCCCCACAGGAAGTGTCACACAACAGTCAAGTATGTCCCAGACATCTGTAAGTACCCTACGTTTTTTTTTTGGATTTAAAATTAAAAAAAAAAAAAATTTTAATTACTGTTTTCCAAAACTATACTGTTGTAATTCATGAAGCTATTAGTGTAGATTTGTTACATACCTTAAATAATAATAAGTGTTTAGGAATACGAGTGATGAAATTGGAGAATTCAGAATTATTGTTAAACTTCTGAAAATCTTAAGTTTTAATAACCATTTTGTAGGGTTGGGGTTGGGGTTGTATCTCAGGTTGTATTTCAGTGATGAAATTGGAGAATTCAGAATTATTGTTAAACTTCTGAAAATCTTAAGTTTTAATAACCATTTTGTAGGGTTGGGGTTGGGGTAGAGCACTCGCCCAGCACATCTGAGGCCCTGGGTTTGATCCTCAGCACCACATATAAATAAATAAAAAATAAAGGTACATCAACAACTAAAAAATATTTAAAAAATATTTGGGATATGTATTTCCTAAGAACAAGATTGTTCTTTTATGAAACCATAGGAAAATTATTAGATTACAGAAATTTAACTGATATAGTATAGTTTATGTTGGAATTACTTAAGTTTTCTCAGGTTTGTCAGCCTTGAAACTTATGTCATTATGGACCATAGTTTTTTTTAGTGTGTGGCTGACTGTCTTATGCATTATGAGGCATCATCCCTCGCAGTGGATACCAACAGCAGACTATGGCTTTCTCCTTCCCCCCAGGTGACAACCAAAAATGTTTTATGGGGGACAAAACTGCCTTTGGTTGAAAACCATTGCGTTATTCTAAAAATGTCCTTTCTATACATTTTTCCTGGTCCAGTATAGTAGTACTTTCATATTCTGTAAAATTGACTTTAATAAAATATAGATTTATAGGTTTTAAGAAACTTAAGAGGAGCTTATGCTATATTCTTCAATTAAGGATATAGTCTTTGCTAAGTACATTCTTTGTTCAGCATGTAGGTGTTTTTCTAACTATTGATCTGCATTTTTAATTAAAAAATTCTTTTTTTAGCACATAAATATCCTGGAATATGGCAAAATTAGTTATGAATATTTTATCTTAACTCTCAGCATGAATACTGTAGTTAATGATTATTAATATCAGATGTCTTGATTTAATACAGGTGTATTAAGGAAAGGCATAGTAAATACTTTGTGTGTTAGTTGAATTATAGACAAATTATTCTGTGAAATATGGGATAACATTAAGATATATATATGTATGTGCATATGTATAGAGTTTTGTTGTCTTATAATTAACAGATATCCTTTTAAACTGTTTTAGTATGATTTTCTGTATGTGACATTCACAGAAATTAAGATTCCAATGATTGTGCTGATTTTTTTTTAGTATTTTTTAGTTATAGGTGGATGCAGTATCTTTATTTTATTTTTATGTGGTGCTGAGGATCGAACCCAGTGCCTCTTGCGTGGTAGGTGAGCACTCTATCTCTGAGCCACACCCTAGCCCGATTGTGCCTATTTTTTAAAAATAATTTTTTAGTTGTAGATGGACACAATCCTTATATTTTATTTATTTATTTTTATATGGTACTGAGGATCGATCCTAGTGCTTCATACATGTGGGGCGAGCACTCTACCACTAAACCATAATCCCAGCCCTGATTGTGCTTATTTTTTATGACATTGTTAATGCTGTTTGTTATAACCGGGCAGTATTGTACCATGTAGTAGGCACTTGTGAATGACTGGTTGGGGAAAAGAAGCATGAAGGGAGAACAGATGTCTAGTGTGAAAAAAAGAACAATATATCATATATCATGTTTGTTTTGTTTATAAATCCGAGTAGCTATTCCTCAAATGAATTGACTAGCAGTATATATTATAATGGCCAAAGTAACTTAGTAAATTGAGGTTACTATCCAAAAGAGAGGCAGAACGTGGTAATAGAAGTATCTAGGTAATGATAATAATGAGCCATTAGGTGGCAGTCTAATAATATTCATAGTTTGGTTATTTTGAGGTAAGTTTTCAGGTAAAGTGAAGCTGTGGGAGTGGTTTAGCTTCCAGAAAGGATTACAGGGTAGGCTGTTGAATAATTAGCTAGATTGGTTGGGATATAGAGTCAAAATGGGATCTCAGTGAGGAAATGAATATTATATAAAAAATTAAACCAGATACCTAGACATATAACCTGGGGAAACTGTGTAGTTTGGGAAATAAACTTGATAATTGAATGTATAGGTAACTAGCAGGTGCCAGCTTTATCTTCTTTTCCCTAATTGGATCAGGATAGCTAATTCTAGACTAATACTAGTAGTGATGGTGGTGATTTTATGGTTGTTTGACTCTAAAATTAATTGGGACTGAACCTTTATGTTGGTGTCTTCCTTCAATTGAAAGAGGGTAAGGTTTAGTTAAATCTGGCTTGCCAAAATGAAATCTGAACCAATTAAAAACTTTGCTGCTGCCAAAAAAACAACAGAAACAAGGTTAAAAGTAACACAATGGAAGAGAATACATTTGCACCATGTATGTCAAATGGCTTTTATTTCTAAAATCCAAAATGTTCTTTTTTAAAAATATTTTTTAGTTGTAGATGGACATAATACCTTTATTTAAAAATTTTTTTTTTAGTTGTAAGACACAATACCTTTATTTTATTTATTTATGTGGTGCTGAGGATCAAACCCAGTGCCCCATGCATGCAAGGCAAACATATTACCACTGAACCACATTCCCTGCCCCCGAATGCTTTTATGTTAGTAATATAAACAATGAACATTTACAAAAGACTAACTGGGAATTAAAAAAAAAAATTTTTTTAGTTGTAGATGGTCACAATACCTTCATTTTGTTTATTGTTATGTGATGCATAACAATGCACCACCCGTGCTCAGCAGGCACTCTACCACTGAGCCACAATCTGGCCCATAACTGGGAATTTTTAAAAGAAAGACTGGGTTGGGAGTACATCTCATATACTATTAATGGTAGATCACTTGCTTAACATGCCTGAAGCCCTGGTTTCAGTCCCCAACACCAGGGGTGGGGGAAGGACTACTTTTGACTTTAAACATATAAAAATATATTTATTGTATTAATAATAAATATATGTAAAAACAACCATGATGTCCCATTTTTACCTGTCAGATTCAAAAGCAAGGCAAAGCTTTTAAATAATACTCATTGCTGGCAAGGATGTAAAATATTTGGCACACACATATGCTATTAATGGGGATGTAAATTGGTACAACTTTTCTGGAGAGTTATTTGGCAGTATGTATAAAAATTTAAAATGTGCATGCCCTTTCATATGGAACTCTTTTTTAAATTTTTATTTTATTTTTAAAAAATATTTATTTATTTATGTATCTTTAGTTTTAGGTGGATACATTAGTTTGTTTTTATGTGGTGCCGAGGATTGAACCCAGTGCCTCATGCATGCTAGGTGTGCACTCTACTACTGAGCCACCACTCCAGCCCCGGAACTCTTTTTTTTAAAAAAATTCTTTTAGTTACAGATGGACACAGTACTATGGGAGCCCAACCTCGCACGTGACTGAGTCACATTCCCTGGCTGGATGCTGAGGCACTCAGTCACAGAAATGTAGCAGAGCTTTCCCCACCCTTCTTGGGTTTGAGGAATGGTGTCTTGTGCATGGGTGTGTCTTGCTACAGCTCCATGGGTGGAGCTATGCCCACCTGTTCCTTTGTAATATAACCCCTTGCCCTGTTTAGGATAGAATCTTCCATGGAAGTGCTTTGTGTGTGTCCCCTTCTCTTACTGTGCCCTTGGGTGTGGCCTACTCATATGTCAGTCAACCTGGTGACAGTGGACATCATGAAGATAGACTCAGCCCCCTGAAACCTGACCCCTTGCCTCATTTGAATAGCTTCTCCCCAATAAAAGGGGCGGGGGTGGGTGGGGGGGCTCTCTCTCTCTCTCTCTCTCTCTCTCTCTTTCTCTTCCTGTGAACCTTTAAGGTCAGAGGAGCCATCATAGCAACCCCAAAGAAAAAGATATTTGTGCCTCTTGTGTGGTTATTTTGCGCAGCCCAATTAGTCCAGTTTCTCTGGACTTTATTTTATTATTTATACCTTTATTTTATTATTTATTTTTATGGGATGCTAAGGATCAAATCCAAAGCTTCACACATGCTACAACCCCAGCCCCTCATATGACTGTTACTTTTTACTGATATCATTAAAAATGACAGGATTGTGGATGTAGCTCAGTGCTAGACCATTTGCCTAGTATATGCAGGGCTATGGGTTTGACCCCAGTCCTGTAAAAAACACAAAAAACAAAACCAACCCCCCTCCTACATAATTATGTGTATATGCATGGTTTACAGTAGTAAAGCATTATATACAATCGAAGTGTCCATTAATTGTAGGACAATTAGTGATAATTCATACAATGGAGTACTGTAGCTACTAAAAAATGCTATACATATACATACAGATAGACTTTGATTTTTATTATGTATTGAGCATAAAGAACAAGAATGCATAGTATTATCTTTCATTTTGATTATTCTATTTTTCAGTTCTAAAATTTCCATTTGTTTCTTCTGTATATCTTTTATTTCTTTGTTGTGACTATTTTTAATCTGTTAACACCAGAGGGGATGCTTCCCATAAATTGCTGAACTGTGGTGGAAATTCTGGCTCTTCACTGGGCCTCTATGGAAGCTTCCCTGACTGGGAGGAACAGGAGTGCCTTGTTACTGCTTCCTATGTAGTCTTTCCACCCCTATACTGCACAGTACATTGTGATGGTGGTGGTAGTTTATTACTACTTGGTTGGGATGAAAATCCTGGCTCTCTACTTGGCCTTTTCTGACACTAATTAATTATAGAGGGTTGATTGAAGGGATGGAATGCCTTTGCATGTGAAAGTATAGTTTTTTGTTGTTGTGAGTGGAGCCATAGTTTTTTCTTTAGTGTTTGCCCATAGTAAAGTAATTATTGTCTTAAGTTTTTTGTGTTGCTGGGCTTTCTCTTTCCTGATCCGTTGGCTAAAAAGAGCAGGCTTTTGT